TTTAAGGGGTCAGGAGGTTCCGAATCCCTGGATTTTTGAGCCGTTAGGTTCCAGTTACCTGGGTCTGAGGGGGGGGGGTATATTTACCTAATAAGTGGAAGCTCCCTTAATAAATACCAAAGATATTCAAATTTGAGATTTTTATTTTTTTTTTTTAGCATTTAAAATCGAAAAACATTGATATTTACCTATTTGAACCATCGTTATTAACTCACTAAAAATCAGTGTATTGGCGCGTAGTAACGCGTTATTTTGAGACGCGTAATTCGAATTATTTTGACAAATTTTGGTTACAAGAGGAAGCACTTTTATTAATGAGCTTAGCCTTAAAAAATACGTAATATGGTACATTTAAGGAGGCGTGTTATTTTGGGATGCGCATGGGCGTTATTTGAATAAAAAATCAATTTTCAAAAAAATGGGAGTTTGAAATAACGCCCATGTACATTATTATGCGCCAATACGGTACATCGCTATTAACTATTAAAAAAAAAAATTTTTTTGCCGCATCGCGACATAATATTGTCGTATAATATCACACGTCATATGAGTATCGATTAATACAGGTACTTCAAAGAGAGGACTAAAACTAGGGTTGTTAAATTAATGTAAGTTACATGTAACTTACACTATAACTTAAGTAACTTACCATGTAAAGTAAGTTTTCAGGTAAGTTTTAACAACCCTAACTAAAACTTGTTTATTTTACAAGTTAGACGTTTGTTTTATCTTTTTTTTCATTGAACCATGTAAACAACTTTTTCATGATCGATCTTCATTATAATCTAAGTAAATTTTTTCTCGAAACAAGCATTTACAAACTTTTTTCTTTTCAACCAATTTGTTTTTTCAGAAAAAAAGATTTTCAAATGCATACAGCGTCGTGTAGTAGCTTTAGATGAAGGTGAAGAATTTATGATTTCTTTACTCTGTTTTAACCCATTTATAGTTAATCAATTCAAAATTATTATATTGTTTAACTTACCCTTTTAATGCGGTAAAATTAATTTGCAGCACCTACAATAATTGTTGTAGCTCTTCGTTTCTGAACTGAAGGTAATAATGATTTAATAATGATACTTCTGCACTGGTAAAGATAACTACGGGAGCTTCTTTGGCTCTTTCAACTCACATCAACATCAATTTCAATTTTTCAAATTTTGCTTCTTTTCGGATAAAGAAGGTTCTATGGAGTGAAAGTATTAAAAACTCATAGGTGCGTTATTAAAAACGGTATACAAATTTCAATAACGGAACAGATTTTTTTTAGTGGGTCAATAACAATGTACTGATTTTATTGTTGGTCAATATCAACGTTTTTGCTTTAGAATCAATTCTTAACCCAGAATTATTAGTATGTTATCAAATATCGGTATCTCGAGTTTTATGCGAATCCTTATCTTTATACGAACTTTTCCGGTAGTTAAACTTGTGGTTGTGTATAGTTTCTAAATTTTAAATTTGCCTGTTACGTATACCTTACTACCTTTGGCGATCAATTTAAGAGAAAAAAAGATCACAGATATATATATCAGCAATATATGATATGTAGAAAAGATTATTAATAAAATTTTTTAATATATGAATATGGCAGGTTGAAGATTTAGGACGGCAAACTAAATTTATAACGATTTTGGAATTTGCCAGCAAGTATAGTTATTAATAAAAATGTAATTTATGGATCAAAATTTATAATACACTGATCCAAAATAAGTCGACCTACAGTAATTGAAGTGAACATAAGGATTAATTCATTACAAAAGCTGCTGAATTAGGATATCAATATATCTTTATGTAAGCATTTAATACAAATATAATGAATGTAATAGAAAAGGGTAGCTAATCAATTTAACCAGTACGAGTTGGAATAACTTTTGCGAGGGTAATTATCTTGCGTTTAGCACGATTAGATAAATCCCTACCAATTAAAGGAAATGAACATATATCAACAATGGCATCATTAAAATCCTCATAACGCGTTTCCACACATCCTTCCATGATTTTTGTACCATAATTTATCCATTCAAATTCAATTATTGGTTCTTGAACCTTAAAACGAAACTTGAATATTCGAATCGCTTCTTGAATCAATTTTTCAGCCTTTTCCTCAGCCACGTTCCTTTTTTTAGGATCATTGAGTACGCGATATTTATTCATTAAATCATTTAATTTTCTTTGGAATATAGGCAGAAATGGATGCTGTTTATTCCCAAACTTTTTTTCGTTTATATTAGCGTATCCACGATAACCAAGTATAGCATAAACCTGTTGACGTAATTTTATAGGTGCTACACGGGTGATATCATCTGCACCGACACGTTCATGTGAGAATCTCTTAATGAGCTCAATTAAGTTATCGGCTTTCTGAATAATTTCTAATTCGAGTCCTTCATGAAACGTATCTGCATATGAGAGAATTTCTCTCAAGACGTGCTGCTGTAAAACGGCTTTGATTAATTGTCTATTTGGCGCATGAGTAATAATTTTTGTTTGAGATCCATATTCTAATAAAAGTTTATTGACATTTTCAAAATTTATTTCTATACCATTTTTCAAATTAGTAACATATTCTTCAATCATATTTTGTAAATTTTCAATATCAGATTTAAGATGCATAAGGTTATTCTGATCGTCGTCACTAAATCGAAAATTTGTTGCATTACCCAGTGCTAGTTGATATTTGGACGCCTCATCTTTTAATTTTATATTTTCTTTTTCAAAAAAAATGATCTGTTGCTCATAAATATCGATTTTCTTAAGTAGATTCTTTTGAAATAAAGCTTTATCTGCCTTTTCCATTTGCAATAGTTGTTTACAATTTTCATAGTCTTTCTGTAAATTAGTAAGAAATTTATTATATTTTTGAATCTCGTGGTTTAATCTTTCGATCATTAAATCCTTTTCTTTGATTTCTCCTTTAAGTTCCTCAATTTTTGAATTGGCGAAAAAAGATTGAAAAAATTGAATTATAATTTCTAAGATCCCCATTTTAGCAGTTGGTTCCGTAGTAGCCATAAGAAAACTAAAAGGATTTTATTTTCAAAACTAAGATTTTATGTACAAATTCTTGCGCTGCCTACAGAAAAAAAAAGTCTAATAAATTCAACGTAGTTAATTTATATATTTAATATACTCAAAAATTTTCCAAAGAAATTACGTAAACTTACACTTTTATATTCCTATAAAATGTGCACATACATAAATTGTATTTATGCCTCCATATTTATTTGACTATCTAAATTTGTTAAAGTTCCTTCAAAAAAGTATGTGCGAGTGCGATCGTAGTTAAAAAATACTAGAATTCTATTATGATAAACAATAAAATTAACTTTTCAAATTAAACTCAAGAAACACTCACTCTTTGAGACAAAAATTGATATAAAAAAAGTAATAATCTCGTTAATTCAGAAGGCTAACAACTTTGATACGCTTCTTCAATATGTCTGAAACAAGTGACACTGTCGAGACTCCCATTATAGATGAAGTTGACAGGTTAAATTTATCTTTCAAAAAATTATTCGACGCTGCTTTAAAAACTGAAACTTGTTCAGAATCAAATGACATTCGTGTAGTAGCAGCAATTGGTAATTCAAATTAACTTTTGTCACAACTATCAAAAACTTGAATCTTATGCTTAATGTTGTTTTGTTTCAAAACTTTCAGATTTCGGTACCACATATTCGGTGAGAACATATTCATGAGTTTATATATGTTGTGCCTCAGATTAATGCTTGCGTCAGATGTCAACTTTTTGGCCCGCATTAACTGATCGATATTGATTGACTTAAATTAAGCCCAAATCCTTCCCAGATTCTTACCCTAACCCTAATCTAACTTAGGCCGGTTTTAATCTGACGCAAGAATTGATCTGAGGCACGACATATATATATTTACGTATACATTGCATCAAACATTCACACGTTCACACGCTTACAATAATAAAATTTAATCGAATTTTTAATATAGGGATATGCTTACGCTCATTTAAAAAGTAAACCTTTAGATATTATAACCTGTGTTGAATGGCCAGAATATGATGGTATATCAAAAGTACCGACGGTGCTAAAATACAACGAGTCTTTTGAAGTTATAGATTGGGGTTATCCTGCATTGATTAATTTAGATCGAAAAAATATCAATCAAACGTCCAATATGAAACCCGTCGAATTATTTAAGCTTCATTTGAGTAATGATAATGACCTAGAAAATAAACCTTATCTTCCTCCTGGACTTGATTATAAGCAAGCTATAATCGATTATTTACGTAAAATAGGTGATTCGCTTAAAGAGGAATTGAACCGATGGCAAAATATTGATTACTTTAAAAATGTTCGCCTAGTTTTGACTGTATGTAAACAATTAAATATTTTTACCATTTTTATACTGTACATACCTTATATAAAAGCTAATCTACATCTCTAATGTATTATACGATATATAGGTTCCTGTAGAATTCGATAATGATGCTATATCTATTATGCGTGATTGTGCATATGAAGCTGGCTTGACGAAATATAAGCATAATTCTAATGGTTCTAATTTATTATTTGTACATGAACGTACGAAAATTTCAAATATTCTCTTTGCAATTCTTTAATTACTTTATCACACCATAACAGATTATTAATTCACTTATTTTCATTTTTTCAATAGCTGAGGCAGCTGCGGTGCATTGCTTAAAGGCATCTGGTGAATTTGATTTTTCAGTTGGAGGTACATACAGTATATATTCACTTTCCATATTCATTTAAATAAGATGTTTACTAATATTGTTAAATTTGTGCAATACAAGATACTTTCATGGTAGTAGATTTAGGCGGTGGCACGGTTGATATAACGACAATGAAGTTATTAGTAGGAGGCAAATTAAGTGAAAAAATTGAGAGTAAAGGTGATTATTGTGGTGGAAGTTATGTAGATCAAGAATTTTTAAATTTTTTAGCCAAAAAAGTTGGTGAATCAACAATTGAAAATTTAAAAGAACATCATTATGGACAAATTCAACGTGTGATTCATGTATTTCGTAAACGAATTAAACATCGATTTACGGGAAAAAGTGAAGATTTTACTGATTTTGAATTGGATTTGGAAGGTAATTTTATCTTTAGACTCTATATTTTATCACTTAAAACATACCAATATATATATTATATAATGTATTATACTTTAAATTTTTGCATATAGATACATGTCCAATTATAAAGGAATATGTGAATGGTACCCTAAAGGACGAACTAGAATTATCAATGTGGGTTATAACCATAAAATATGATGATATAAAAGCTATGTTTGATCCCATTATTGATAAAGTTATCAAGTTAGTTAATGGACGGCTCGAAGCACTTAATTTTAATTGTTCTGCCATATTATTGGTCGGAGGATTTAGTGAATCCAGATATTTGGTTTCCAGGATTAGAAATGTGTTTAAACTAATTGTTCCAAATATCTCCGTTCCTTCTAATCCTATGCTCGCCATAGTTAAAGGCGCCGTACAATTTGGATCTTCACAAAGAATCATTGTTGATCGTATTTTGAAATGGACTTATGGTATGTTAATTATTAGAATATTAAAAAAACTGCACTTCTTAAATCAATATTATAATACATAGGAACCGATGTTATAAGAAAATGGAAGCCTGATGATCCTCTAGATCGAAAAATCGGTGAACATATCAAGGTTTTTAGCAGATTAGCGAAAAGAGGAGAAAAAGTTGCTGTAGGTGAAAAAGTTGTAAGGATTTTTTCAACGGCACACGTCTTTCAATTTTTGATGGGTCTTGATTTGTATGTTACACGTGACGAAGATGCAGAATATTGTGATAGTCCAGGTGTAGAATTACTTGATAACTTTAATATTAAAGTACCTATTACCGGTGAAGAAAAGCGTGCAATCTTATACATTATGAATTTCGGAATGGTAGAAATTCAAATCACCGCTGTCAATCCTGATGATGGAATGAAGTATGAGAGAGTATTTGATTTGGATATTTGAATGATTTAATCATGTATTAACTTTGTGCCCTTTTTTTATTGAACTAATAAAATTTTGTAATGAGAATTAAATAACATTATAAAAATTACAAAACGATAATGATAAAAAAAAAATAATAATAATAATTAATAAAAAAAAACTTATGTCATATATCGCTATAATAGAATTGACAATCATCAAAATTTAGTAAAATTAAACTATTATTTTTGCAAAGAAGTTTTGCCAATATTTTTTTTTCTTCAAGTCTAAATTGATTATGATGAATTTTTAAATCAATTAATGTAGTATTTTTACAAAGAGCTTTTGTTAATACTTTTCTTCCTTCAAAACCAAGTTGATTATCACTTATATCTACATGAGTTAAAGTAGAATTTTTGTATAAAGCTTTTGCTAATATTATTGCTTCTTTAAGACCAAATTCATTTCGACTTATTTTTAAATGAGTTAAAGATGTATTTTTATAAAGAGTCTCAACTAATACTTTTGCTCCGTCAAAATTGATTTGATTGTAAGATAAATTTAATGTGGAAAGAGTATTATTATGGCAAAGAGCCTCTGTCAATACCTTTGTACCTTCAAAACCAAGTTGATTACCTGAAATATCTAAAGAAGTTAAAGTAGTATTTTTATAAAGAGCTTCGGCTAAAGCTTTTCCTCCTTTAAAACCGAGATAATTATGAGAAAGGTTTAAAGAAGAAAGCGTATTATTTTGACAAAGAGCCTCTGCTAACACCTCTCCTCCTTCGAAACTAAGCCTATTAACACTAATGTCTAAAGATGTCAGAGTAGAATTTTTACAAATAACCTCTGCAATTTCTTTTACTCCCTCAATGCCAAGTTCATTTCCGTCAATATTTAAGGTAGTTAAGGTATTGTTTTTATAAAGAGCCTCGGCTAATGCTTTTCCTCCTCTAAAACCAAGATGATTTGCAGAAAGACCTAATGAGGTTAAAGTAGCATTATTGCAAAGAGCTTCAGCTAAAGCTTCCCCTTCTTTAAAACAAAGTTTATTACCATTAAGTTCTAAAGTGGATAAATTGATATTTTTATAAAGTGCTCTCGAAAGTGCTTTTATTCCTTTAAAACCAAGTTGATTAAAGCTAAGATCTAATGAGGTAAGAGAAATGTTTTTATAAAGAACTTCTGCTAATATTCCTCCTCCTTTAGAGCAAAGTTTATTATCGCAAAGATTTAAAGATGTCAAAGTTGTATTCTTATAAAGAGCTTCAGCTAATATTTTCGCGTCCTTAGGACCGAGCTTATTATCATGAAGTATTAAGGAAGTTAAAGTAGTATTTTTGTAAAGAATATTGGCAATTGCTTTTAATTCCTCTAAACTAAATCGAATGTTAGAAAGTTCTAAGGAAGTAATAGTGGTCTTTTTTGGAAGAATATCTATTAATTGCATTGTTATTTTATCACTGGTCCCACAAAGCTTTAAACTAATAATATTTTTACTAGTTCGTAAAAACATTGAAATTAAAGAGCACTTAATAGTTTCAACTTCTTTTTCAAAAAGTTCATATTTATTGCAATAATTAGCGAAATTACAAGGAATTTTGTCTTTATAGCAAAGCCAATTTACGATTCCATTTTCTAAACCATAACAATCAACAATTTTAGTATAAGAAGTGTAATCAAATAATGGTTTTGGATCATTTGGAAGTACTATATTTAATGGAATTAATGGAGCACGTTCTTCAATACTTAGGGTTAATAGATATACTTTTGTAAGTTCTTTATCTTTGAAATGTGATGAAGGTTCACTCCATAATATTGGTATTACATTTCTACACCATTGACGGTTTACAAGAAGACACGAAAATAAGAATCTATAATAATTTCGAAGATTAATTAATATTTCAAAGATGCATTCATTAGGTAATGTTATCATCTTGGAAAAATTAACGTTAAGTTTAAAGTTACAAATAGTTGTCTAATCAAACTATTATTACAATATACAATTTTATATAAAAAATCTGAATTACCTTTATTAGTATAATTGGGTTAATTTGATATTGTGATTGTAAAAGTCAAATTTTATAAAATGGCGTGTATTAACATGAGACCGTAATAGCGTGATATAAATGCTCTGGTGTTAAATTATAAATACTACGCAACTTTCTGTGATGAATTGATGTTTCTCTATAATGCTACGTACGTACACACCACATTTTTTTTAAGTCAACCCTTTTTATACTGAACTAGCGTAAAATTTAAAATTCAACCAACTCGTTCGTTAATATTCTAATCAAGTCTAATCCTGCAAAAATGTTTCGTTCTTATGATACGTCACAACACGACTTAAAATAATGGTAATTATGGGACGTTATCTAAGATGTTATAATATAAGATCGTATGATTTTATGGCTTGATATTTTTGTCACGAGATTATGTAACATCATGTTTTGATATTTAACACAATGAGAAATTCGTTATTTTTATCATAAACCCAATAATCTGTAATGCATGGTAGGGTTACGGAATTTATGCAATATAAATTTGTAAATTTTCGTGCGGTATATATTGCATCTGAAGTAGCCACCTACCGTATTCTACCGTTAATACCCCGATCACTATTCAAGATCACGGGAGTATTAATTAATAATACCCTGACCGTATGTGAATTAGCGGGACTTTCAGCCCCGCTAATACCCAACGGATCAGGATATTATTATTACGAATACTGTGGTTTTGAACACCACTGTGATTTTAGCAAAACCATTTGCATATACTGTAAAATTTAAGTATATCAGTTCATTTGACCAATATTTACAGTGGTTTGAACCTATATATCCTATGTCCGTTAATGTAATTCAGAAGAAATTAAACTTCGATTCTATTACCTTTATAGAAGTTACAAGACTGATGATCATTTTTTGCTACCACTAATCCATCTATATTGCTATATATCAAGGTCTAATAATATGTTAATTTGTTAAGTTGAGAAAGAATATAGTTCTAGTTTTGTAACACCTGTTATACTTTTTTTTTTGATGAAAATTTTAAAATTTTCATTATTTTAATACAAAATCATCTTTGAGAGATTAGGTCACAAATAGCAAAATTTAATCTAAATAATTATAAAAAACTTAATTTTATTTTAAATAATTTTTTAGTTATACTAGATTAATATATATAAATTTAAAAATATCATATTATATAATGGTAAATATCAAAAACTTATATTGATTTATATTGACTAAACAAATACTAATTTGTAATTATAAAATATTGTACAATATAAACAAATATTTAAGGTTCTTAAACTGCTCTTTTAATATAATTTACTAGTAATCAATATTGCTCAATAGTTGTAATAAATTATAATCTCTATAATAACTTTGCAAATTTATAAATAAGATGCAAATTTCCAATCAGAGCAACTCTATAAAAAAAAATAAATAGTTATAGCACTAGTGTTTTTGATTTAAAATCTCTATAATGAATGCTTCACTTAATAGATTATAAGTAGATTTTTAGTTAGTCAGTAATTGAATAAACTGAAAAGATAAGTTGTTATTAATTAAAAAATACTATAAACAGACTATCTTTTTTTATAAAGTTGTTAAAATCTTAAATTTATATTATAAATTTCAGCAAATCAAAATAAAGTTCACTACTTCAATTAATAACAATAATTAAACAATATTCCAATTAATAGCAACTATTAATTAATAAGCCCAATGAGAAAAAGATATTTGAAAATACTCTAATTTTGCAAAGAAAATGTTCTTTTAATAATTATTAAAATTAAAATCAGTTTACAGATCAAAAATACTATTTATTATCTTATAATACTTTTTAAATTATTCATTCACGATAATCAATTTATTCAGCTTATAAACATAAATACCAAAATTAGTAAAACCAGAACAACATAAATACTTATCTACTATAATAATTTTATTTGCAGCAATCATTTTATTCAATTTGTAATTAGTTCAAAAATCAAGAATATGCTTGTTTACTATTTCATAATACCTTTTAAATCACATTAATCATTTTTATTCAGCTCTAAATAAAATTAAATCAGTGAAATATGTTCACAATTTATAAACCTAAATACTCATCTATCATTGCATAATATCCTTCGAACATAAAAATTAAAATTAACAAAATTGATATTTATTTACTATTCTATAATACCTTTCGAATCATCTCATTCATAATAGTTATTTTATTCATTTTATAAATATAAAGCTTTTTTAATAATTGTTAAAATAAAATTAGCAAATTGGTTTCAAGAATACAAATACTTATATACTATTTTATAATACCCACCAAATAATTTAATTCTTATTACTCATTTTTCAACTTTTTATAGTTAACAAAGGAACTTTTCCCAACGATCTCTTGTACCAAAATCACAACAAACTTTTTTTTCAAAAAAAACAGTAAACTATGGTAGAAAAGAAGGAAATAAGACTGGTCAAAACCATAAACCGGCACCTGT